CAAAGACAAAAGGAGACAATAATAAAAACAAAGACAAAAGGAGACAATAATAAAAACAAAGACAGAAGGAGACAATAATAAAAACAAAGACAAAAGGAGACAATAATAAAAACAAAGACAAAAGGAGACAATAATAAAAACAAAGACAAAAGGGGACAATAATAAAAACAAAGACAAAAGGAGACAATAATAAAAACAAAGACAAAAGGAGACAATAATAAAAACAAAGACAAAAGGAGACAATAATAAAAACAAACAAACAAAAGAGATAAATAATAAAAACAAACAGACAAAAGAATTAAACAATAAAAATAAACAAACAAACAGACAAATAAAACAGACAGAAGAGACAAACGGAGACAAATAATAAAAAAAAACAAAGGAGACAAAAGGAGACAAATAAAACAAACAAACAAACAAACAAACAAACAAAAGAGATAAATAAAACGAAGGAGACAAATAAAACAAACGGACAAACAAGCAAAAGAGATAAACAAAGCAAACAAACAAAAGAGACAAACAAAACAAACAAACAAGCAAACAAAGGAGACAAACAAAACAAAGAAAAGAGACAAAAGATATACCGTTTGAAATAGTGAAGGTGCCGCCTGTCATATCTTCTAACGCCAGCTGCTGGCTGCGTGCTTTCGCTGCTAAGGAGACAATTTCCTGCATGTACACCCCGTGATAAACAAATAATAATTATAGTAATTGAATAATATTAATATAGTAGTAAGTTTACAATGATATTAATATCATTACTATATTAATGTAGTAATACCTAGCTACCTAGCTAGCTACCTACCTAGCTAGATAGCTAGCTAGCTAGCTAGGTAGGTAGCTAGCTAGGTAGCTAGGTAGCTAGGTAGCTAGCTCGGTAGCTAGCTCGGTAGCTAGCTCGGTAGCTAGCTTGGTAGCTAGCTCGGTAGCTAGCTCGGTAGCTAGCTCGGTAGCTAGCTAGCTGTTTGGCGCGTACCTGCTCGAGTTGATGCCAGGTCTTAGTATGGCAGTCGCGCACAACGGGGACAAGGAGACCCGAAGGAGCAGCAACAGCAACGCTGATGTCTACGAACTGCCGATACACTACTTCGCTTCCTTCTATTGCTGCATTAATAAATAAATAAATAAATAAATACATAAATATAAGAATAAATAAATATAAAAATAAAATAAATAGATGTAAATATAAATAAATAAATAAATTAGTTAGTTAGTTAATTAATTAATTAATTAATTAATTAATTAATTAATTAATTTATTAATTAGTTAGTCCTGCTATTGCTGCTGCTGCTACTGGTGCTGCTGCTGCTATTGCTGTTGCTGCTGCTGTTGCTGCTGCTGCTGCTGCTGCTGCACGCACTTGCATTGACAGCCGGGAATTTCATAAGGGAAAGGGCTGAGGCCATCATAAAGGCAGAAACAAAACCTGAAAAAGAGAAGACAAACCCTAAACCCTAAACCCTAAACCCTAAACCCTAAATAAAAACCCTAAAACCCTAAACCAGAAGGGGCTAAGCTCAAAGTAAAAGACAGACAGACAAAGAAAGGAGAGAAGAGAAAAGAGACAGAGCAACGCCATCAAAGGAGACAGACGAAAAGAAAGAGAGACAGAGAGACAAACAAATAAACAAATGAAAGAGAGAGACAAACAAATGAACAAATAAAATAGAGAGACAGACAAAGAGACAGAAAGACAAACAAACAAACATAGGAAGAAATAAACAAAGAGAGACAAACAAATAAACAAAGAGACAGATAAAGAAACAATTCACACGTTAAAACAAACCGAACAAAAAGGAGACAGCTGCACAACTCGCGGAGACAGAAGAAGCAAATTAAAAAAGAAAAGATAAGAGATAAGAACAGAAGACAACTATAAAAGAGACAAATAAAAGAGACAAACGGAGACACTCAAAAGAGAGAAAGAGACAGACAAAAAATAGAGACAGTTGAAAACAAAAGGAGACAAAAAAGAGAGAGAAGGAGACAGCCAAGACAGACAAATAAACAAACAAAGAAGAGACAAACAACAGACAAATAAGAGACAAATAAGAGACAAATAAGAGACAGTGAAGAGACAATGAAGACACAAATCAGAGGCAAAGAAGAGACGGCGAAGAGACAAAGAAGAGACAAATAAGAGACAAAGGAGAGACAAAAGGAGACTCTCAAAAAGAGACAAATAACAGACAAAGAAGAGACGAAAAAGAGACAAAGCAGAGACAAAGCAGAGACAAAGCAGAGATAAAGCAGAGACAAATAAGAGACAAACAAATAAAAAGAAGAGACAAATAAACAGAAAAAGAGACACAAATAAACAAAAAGAAGAGACAAATATCTTACCCATCTTCACCCCGTACTTCGCTTGAAATTCGGCGTTCAGTTCGTTGCGCAGCGCCATCAGAGCACTCATGTCGCACTGCATTATAATAAATAAATAAATAAATAAATAAATAAATAATAATAATAATGATAATAAATAAATAAGTAATAATTAATAATATAATAATAAATCAAATACATAAGAAAAATAAACTAGTAAATACTAATATTAAAAATAAACAATAAAGAATATATACAATAAAATAAAATAAAATATACAACAATACACACAAAACACACACTCGACAGCAGCAGCAGCAGTAGCAGCAGCAGCAGTAGTAGCAGCAGCACTAGCCCTAGCAGCAGCAACAGTAGCCCTACCAGCAGCAGCACTAGCCCTAGCAGCAGCAGCACTAGCAGCAGCACTAGCCCTAGCAGCAGCAGCAGCACTAGCCCTAGCAGCACTAGCAGCAGCAGCAGCACTAGCAGCAGCACTAGCCCTAGCAGCAGCAGCAGCACTAGCAGCAGCAGCAGCACTAGCAGCACCAGCAGCACTAGCCCTAGCAGCAGCAGCAGCACTAGCAGCACCAGCAGCACTAGCAGCAGCACTAGCCCTAGCAGCAGCACTAGCCCTAGCAGCAGCAGCAGCACTAGCAGCACCAGCAGCACTAGCCCTAGCAGCAGCAGCAGCAACAGCAACAACAGCAGCAGCAACAGCAGCAGCAGCAGACCTCATTGAAAGTGGTGAGCATTGCGTTTGTGTTCTGCGCTTCTTTCAGGCGAACTGCTACCCGCTGTCTTAGCCGAGACATCGGCACCTGCAAAGAGACAAATTAAAAAAATTAAAAGACAATTAAACAGCTGTCTCCTTTCTCTATCTGTCTCTCTTGCTCTATCTGTCTCTGTCTGTGTCTCTGTCTCTCTCTCTCTCTACATATATATATATATATCTGTCTCTCTTGTTCTGTCTCTCTGAGTCTGTCTGTTGTTATCTGTTGTCTCTTTTGCTCTGTCTATTTATTACTTCTTCTCCAGACAAATACAAACAAAGACAGAAAAAGAAAGAAGAAGAGACAAAGAGAGACAGATAAAAAGAGACAATAAGAGAAGGACAAGGAGATAAAAACAGATAAATAATAAAAACAAATAAATAAAAACAAATAAATAAAAACAAACAAACAAAGACAAATAAATAAAAACAAACAAATAAAAACAGACAAAGACAAAGAGAGAGACAGAGAAGAAGGAGACAACGAAAGAGAAAAATAAATATAAAAAAGACAAAAGGAGACAGCGAAGCAAACAAAACAAAAAAAATATCAAAAGAGTGAAGGACAGAAGACAGAGACAAATAAAATAATATCAGAAGACAGACAAAGAGAGACAAATAAAGAGAGACAGACAAACAAAGAGAGACAAATAAAGAGAGACAAATAAAGAGAGACAAATAAAGAGAGACAAATAAAGAGAGACAAACGGAGACAAATAAAGAGAGACAAATAAAGAGAGACAAAACAAACAGAGACAGACAAACAAAGAGAGACTAACAAAGACAAACAAGAAAAGGAGACAGAAGAAATACTTGCAGACACACCCGTCTCTCCACACGCTCCCCAGACACGAAGACAGGCATCGGTGCAGCAGCAGCAGGAGCAGCAGCTGGTGCTGCTGGTGCTGCTGCTGGAGCAGCAGCTGCAGCAGGCCTCGTAGAGCGAGGCGCAGCAGCAGCAGCTCCCGTTTCTGCAGCAGGAGCAGAAGCTCCTGCTGCTGCAGCGGGGGCAGCAGATGAAGGGGGAGGAGCAGCAGCAGGAGCAGCAGCAGCAGCAGGAGCAGCAGCAGCAGGCTCTTTTGCTGGGCGCTCCTCTTCAGGAGGTGGTGCTGCAGCTGAGGAAGCAAACAGCAGCAAGAAGCAGCACTTCGATCAGCACAGCAGCAACAGCCACAGCAGCAGCAACACCAGCAGCAACAGCAGCAGCAGCTACTCCTGCTAAGCTGCTGTCTCCTTGCATGCATCTGCTTGTTTATTTGTCGGCCTGTCTCTGTCTGTCTCCGCATCTTTACGTTTGTCTCCTCGCTCTTTTCTGTCTCCTCTCTTTCATCATATTTATACACCCGCAGCAGCAGCAGCAGCACCGTCAGCAGCAGCAGCAGCAGCAGCAGCAGCACGGTCAGCAGCATCATCAGCGGCGCCTCGAGCAAGAGCAGCAGCAGCACGGTCAGCAGCACCATCAGCATCAGCATCAGCAGCATCAGCAGCAGCAGGAGCAGCAGCAGGAGGAGGAGCTTACATGTATCTAATTCATAGAGGGGTTTGCCTACGAAGACAGTCTCTCCAGGCTGCGCATGCACTGCAGCAAGCAGCCCCGCTGCAGGGCTGTTGATATCCACAGCTACTTTGTCTGTCTCCACCACCCCGACTAAATCTCCTTCATACACGTAGCTACCAACGCCTTCAGAGCAGCAGCAGCAGCAGCAGCAGCAGCAAGAGGAAGAGCAGCAGCAAGAGGAGGAGCAGCGAGAGGAGCAGCAGCAGCAAAAAGAAGAGGAGCAGCAACAAGAAATCAACAGAAGTAGCAACAAGAGCAACAGCAGCAGCAGCAACAGCAACAGCAGCAACAACAGCAGAAGCAGCAGAAATGACAGCAGCAAAAGAAGAACGTTAGAATACACAAACCACCAACGGATCCACTCACGATGGTTTAGGGTTTAGAATGAGGGTTTAGGGTTTAGGATTAGGGTTTAGGGTTTAGGATAAGGGTTTAGGGTTTAGGATGAGGGTTTAGGGTTTAGAATTTCGGATAAGGGCTTAATTGTTTATGGTTTCGAATGAGGGTTTAGGGCTGAGGATAAGGGTTTAGGGCTTAGAGTTTAGGGTATTAGGGTTTAGGGTTTAGGATGAGGGTTTAGGATGAGGGTTTAGGGTTTAGGGTTTAGGGTTTAGGGTTTACTGCACTTCCAGTCTTGCAGGGTGCCCTCAGTAATTGAGTCGCCCATAGACGGACATTCCACCACCATGCGCCCGCCAGCAGCAGCTAAACGCACAAACCCTAAACCCTAAACCCTAAACCCTAACCCTAAACCCTAGACAGTAAACCCTAAACCCTAAACCCTAATACCTAAACCCTAAACAGGAAACCCTAAACCCTAGTTTTTTACTTGACCCCTGCTGTAAGCTCTCAATTCCTCAACCCAAAACTCTAAACCCTAAACCCTAATCCCTAACCTTTAAACCCTAAACCCTAAACCCTAATCCCCAAACCCTAAACCCTAAACCCTAAACCCTAAACCCTTGGTGAAAGAGTCACCATGAAAGAACCTCCTTGAGCGGAGCAAATTTTGCATGCAGCCAACGGCTTCTTGCTGTTGCTGTTGCTGCTGGTGTCGCTGCTGCTGCTGCAGCTGCTGGGTTTGCTGCTGCTGCTGCTGCTGCTGCAGCAGCACCTTCTCCCATGGTGTAGCAGCTTGCAGCGAGCCCAGACCCCTCGTTAGCTGCTGCGAGCCTCTGAGTCGGAGACTCAGCTGCAGCAGCAAAGAGACAGAGACAACAACCCCACGTACCTCATCCTGCTGCTGCTGCTGCTGTTCTACTGATGCTGCTGCTGCTGCTGCTGTTCTACTGATTCTGCTGCGGTTGTTGCTGCTGCTGATGCTATTATGCTGCTGCTGCTCTAGCTGCCCTGCTACTCTTGCTATTTGCTACAGCGCTACTCCCATTGCTTATGCTGCTGTTGCTGTTCCTTCTGCTGCTGCTGTTGCTGCTGCTGCTGCTGCTGCTGCTCCTAGTTATGATTGATTACCCTAATGGGGATGGAAACGACGCTCATTGCGCTGCAGCAAGCACAAGAAAAATAAATAAAATAAAATAACAAAATATAATAGATAAATAAATAATAAATAAATTAACAAATAAACAAATAATAAACAGATAATAAACAAATAAAATAAATAAACAAATAAATAAATAAATAAATAAATAAATAAACAAATAAATAAATAAATAAATAAATAAATAAACAAATAAACAAATAAATAAATAAATAAATAAACAAACAAACAAACAAACAAATAAATAAATAAATAAATAAATAAATAAATAAATAAATAAATAAACAGACCTTCAAACAAACTAAAGACAAACAAAGGAAGAAAAAGTGCAGCAACAACAAACAGCAGACACCCACTAGGCTGCGTTCAGCTGTATAGGCAGCTTCGTGTGCATGCAGCAGCAGCAGCAACAGCAACAGCAGCAGCAAGAGCAGCAGCAAGAGCAGCATCAGCAACAGCAGCAGCAGCAACAGCAGCAGCCAGCAGCAGCTGTTGCAGTTATAAGACAACAGCAGCAGCAAAGCAAACCCTTACTCTACTATCGGCTTGTGGAGAAGGTCAACAAGCAGACAGCTGAGGTGTACATACACCCCAACTGCAGCAGATGCAAACAAAACGCAGACACCCTAAACCCTAAACCCTAAACCCTAGCAGGACTCCAGGGCCTCTAGAGGCCTCTAGGGAGCACCAGTGCATGCAGAGAGATCGTAGCAGCTGCTGTGTTTCTATTGCTTTGTCTTCTGCTGCTGCTGCTGCTTCTGCTGCTGTTGTTGCTGCTGCTGGCGTCTTGCTATACAAGCTAGCCAGCACGGTGTTGCTGCTGCTGCTGCTGCGGTGTATGTACATCCCAGGCTACACTCTGTTTGCTCTGCATGCATTAATTGCTTCTCTTTAACTTGTAGAAGGCAGCAAAGAGAGTTAAAATAACTAAGAAAACAAAAAACCTAAGGAGGGCTATACCCTACCTAGGGCCCCCTCGTTGCTGCAGCAGCAGGGGGTAGAGGAGCAGCAGCAGCAGCAGAATATGTTTTAATAGCTGTAAACAAATTATATTAATAATTATAAAATAAACAAATAACAGCAAACAAACACAAAACGCAGCGACGGGGCTTTTGCTGCTGCAGCTCTTACAGGCTACCCCCTCAGTTGGAGCTGCTGCTGCTGTTGCTGCTGCTGCTGCTGTTGCTGCTGCTGCTGCTGCTGCACGCACATTAAAATCCTCTAAATTTTTCGCCTCTTCAGAAGACGACAGACCCTTGACAGCCATGCCAGCAGCAGCAACCGCCTGGTTTGCTGCAGCAGCAGCAGCAGGCGCAGCAGCAGCAGGAACAGCAGCATAAAGGGATAATATAGCTGCAGCGTTGTGTGCAGAGATGAAAAGAGAGAGCAGGAAGCACTATTAACTTGCTGCTGCTGCTGCTGCTGCTGCTTGGTGTGTATGCACATACACCTCAACTAAAGGCTGTGTAAAAATAAGAAAGGTCTTCATTTCTTAGTGCTGCTGCAGCATCTATCAGCTACTGTTTGTTATCTCTCGATGCATGCACCGCTGCTGCTGCGCCTTCTAGCAGCAGCAGCAACAGCAACCCCAGCAGCAAGGTCAATAACAACAGCAGCAGCAACAGCAACAGCAGAAACAGCAGCAGTAACAACTGCAGCAGCAGCAGCAGAAACGTAGCAACGTAGCAGCCACGCCAGCTACAACGGCAGCACCAGCAAATACATCAGCAGCAGCAGCATCAGCAGCAGCAGCAGCAGCAGCAGCAGCACATCAGTTTTCAGTTGTTTTCCTTAGATTGGTCCTCAAACGAGTTTTGTGGGCAAACTGCTGCAGTTTGCTTTCAGGTGTAGCAGCAGCAAACGGCTTGCTGCTGCTGCTGCTGCTGCAGCTGCAGCTACAGCAGCAGCAGCTGCCGTTGCTGCTGCTCCGCTGCGTATTACTGCTGCTAATATTCCCTCATGCCTTTGCACTCTAACTGGCGCGCAATGCATTTGCTGCTGCGCCTGAGGTTGCTGCTGCTGCTGCTGCAGCTGTTTGCTGCTGCTATGCTGCAGCTGTTTGCTGCTGCTATGCTGCAGCATCACTGTGGGGTTTACAATCCGGTGTCTCCTATAACAGGCCCGTCGAGGCCGTTGTGCTGCTGCTGCTGCAGCGCATCTAAATCGCTGTCGTGCTGCAGCAGCGGCAGCAGCAGCAGCAACGGCAGCAGAATCATAAGAATAATCTTTGTTAGGCTCTGCTGCTTGCGTAGATTGCTTGTAGGAGGTGCTGCTTCTGCTGTTGCTGCTGCTGTTGCTGTTGTTACTGCTGTTGCTGCTGCTGTTGCCCAATCCATTGTTGCTGTTTCTTCAGGAAAGGCTGTTGCTGTTGCGTCCGTAAAGTATTGAGGGAAGAGGAGTGCGTTGTCGCTGCTGCTGCTGCTGCTGCTGCTGCTGCTGCTGGGGTGCGAGGGAGTGAAGTTGTCCATCCCCAGCAGCAGATCTTCATCTGCTGCATCGCCTGCATCAGCAGCAGCAATTCTTTCAAGGCATTGAGCGGGCGAGGCAGCAAAGACGAAAACTGCTGCTGCTGCTGCTGCAGTAGTTGCTGCTGATGCAGCAACTGGTGCTGCAGCTGATGCTGCTGCTGAGACCAGCACCAACAGCAGCACCTGCCGCAACAGTAGAGACAGTCTGTTCTGCATTCTAGAGGTGTAACTACCTGCTGGTGTGGGGTGGGCCTGCTGCTGCTGCTGCAGCAGCTGCTGCTGCTGCCGCTGCTGCAGGTGCAGCAAAAGAGAGAATGAGTTTCTAGGGGCTACAGTTTAATAGAGGGGGCCCATAGAGCTAACCCAAAGCGACAAACGGAAAGTTTGTTGCTGCTGCTGCTGCTACTACTGCTGCTACTACTGCTGCTGCTGCTGCTGCTGCTGCTGCTGGTCTGCCTCCCCTTCCCCGCAAGGCCTCAAGCCGAGTTGAAGTTTAAAAAGAACGACAAGAAGAAAAACAAACTAAAAATAAAATGTATTTATTGACTCATTAACTTCTTTATTTCTTTAAAATACCCGCAGCAATCTGCTGCTATTGCTGCTGCTGCTGCTGTTGCTGCTGCTGCTGCTGCAGTGCATCATCGGGACCAGAGGAGGGAGCAGCAGTTTGTTTGGGGTGATGACGCAGCAGCAAAACCCTAAACCCTAAACCCTAAACCCTAAACCATCAACAAAAATAAGCCCTCCTTGCATTGCTGCTCTCAAACCCCAAACCCTAAACCCTAAACCCTGAGAGCGGATCGCCGACCCCCTGGGACCACACGAGCTGCTCCATCGGGAGCTGTTCAGGTTAGGGTTTAGGGTTTAGGGTTTAGGGTTTAGGGTTTAAAGCTTAGGGTTTAGGGTTTAGGGTTTAGGGTTTAGGGTTTATTGGCTAAGACGCGCAGACCCCACAACACCGGCCCTTCGATGTACACCCAACCAAACCCTAAAGGAGACAGCAGCGAACATAAAAATATATTAAAGTATAAATAAAGATATATTAAAAATATTAAATTAAAGATTTAAACAGCAGCACTTAATGTGTTAGTTTGCTATACACGCCCTTATTTAGGCTTGCAGAGAAACGGGTAATAGATTATATATAAATAAATAAGTAAATATATATATATATATATATATATATATATA